AAGGAAGGAAGGAAGGAAGGAAGGAAGAAAGAAGGAAGGAAGGACAGGAAAGAAAGAGAAAGACATGACAAGAAGGTGGAAGGCCTTTTGTCCTGATGTGCATTTACACAATTTATGTCACTTTTATTCCCACATGTTGGGTGACATTCATATTTCTTACCCTAGAACAAAAAATAGGAGAAATACGAATAAAAAGCAGTGAACTTTTTTTCTTATCTGTGGTACAATTCTTGCAGTTAAGACGCTGAACTTGCTATACCTTTGCCCCTTCTATCACAGTTGTTCAGATTGATAAAAAATTATATTGCTGCTAAAGTATTCTCCATAGAGGTTGCTTCAGAGTCATCCGAAAACCTGTAGCAACAGATTTCATGTTGGATGAACTAACCCAAAAGGAGCCATTCCATTCCCACCAGTATGATTCACTCAGTTCTACAAGTTTCAGAGCTTTCTCCTGAACAAAGAAGACGGTTATATTTTTCTTACATGTGCTTATTCACTCAACCGTTCATGTATTGAATCGGTCAAGAAATGTATTACATGCCTACTCCATGGCAGTTACTGTGCTAAAGCTGAAGAGGGTTCTCCTCATAGCGCTCATCGTTGGGGGGAGACGCATCACAGTGTCAGGTTGCCACCCGGAGGAGGTTTGCAGACCCTGGGGACAAGGAACAAGACAGGAGAGACCATTACTTAACACAGACTGTGGCACTGGGGACAGCTTCTAGAAGAGGTGAAACTTCTTTAAGTACTTGCGTGATGAAGTAGGAGCTAACCAGGTTCAGGAAAGAGGTGGGGATGGGGGTTCATTCTAGAAAGAGGGGCTATCATCTGTAAAGCCATTGGAAGAACACAACTACTGTTGGTCTATTGGATTTCTTTTAAGTAATCAGAACCACACCTCTTATTTCTCAGTGAACTGACCCCAGCTATCATCTGGTGATGGCTTTCTTTTATTTACGTAAAATACTCATTTATCCTTTCTTCTTGTTCTGTTTTTTACTCAACTTGTCAGGCCAAATTGAAACACACATGCACACACACACACATTTACATATGTATGTATGGATAAATACATATCTCGTGTATGTAAATATGCATCTCTTTTGTATAAACCTTGTCACACAGTAGGAGGACAGAGGGGCTCAACTTAGAAAGTATGAAGTTTTGTTGAGTACTCCAGACTTCTCTTACCTGATTTTTGAGATTTGCTTTTCAGATTTTTATAGATCAATTAAAAAAAATAGGATGTAGAATTCCAAGCTCCTAATCTTACCACACTCCTTGGTCTTCTCCTTTTGATAAAACCTATATTGTTTTGTATTTTTCTTAAGTTGTGGCAACCAACACTGCATACCACACTTGATACTGACATGTTTTTTGTTTTCTTATGTTTCACTTTGATGGCCCCATTTTGACGTTTTGTGGCTTTCCTTGTTTTCATAGGCAGCTCATTAAGCTGGAAATCATAAAGAATACCTGTGATGACTCTGTGGTCCTATTCTTGGGCGACTTAATAACCAGAGTTTTATTTTACCTGTATGGATTGAAGTTTAAAATGCCACCACTTAAAAATTGTTGTTGTTGTTGTTTTGTTTGTTTTAAAGAGCACTTTCATATTGCCCCCCTTTTGCATTTTTAAAAAAGTTTATTTACTTATTTTGAGAGAGTGCATGTGGGACAGGGTGAGAGAGAGAGAGAGAGAGAGTGAGAGAGAGAGAGAGAGAGAGAGAGAGAGAGAGAGAGAGAGAGAATCCCAAGCAGGCTCCAGGCTGTCAGTGCAGAGCCCAACGCGGAACTCAATTTCAAGAACTGTGAGATCATGACCTGAGACAAGATCAACAGTCAGATGCTTAACCAATGAGTCATCCACACACCCTTCCTTTAGCATTTTTGAGATAGAATTCACTTTCTCATCTTTATTTGGGGTACAGGATGCTATTCCCACCCGGAAGTCTTTTAAGCTCTCCAGAAGACTTTAAGTGTTACGGCTAATACTCCAAAAACCAGAACAGTATATTGGTAGGTTCCAGGGATTTTCTGACAATATATTAATTCATCTAATGGTTTTACTTTCAGGTAGATAGAGTGTAAGTACATAAAAAGAGTAGTAACAGAGACTCAAGAAAGTAAAATGCAGCATGCTTGTGTTTTAGGAGTAAGCATTGATACTGGGTAAGAATTTTTAATCTCATACTCAAGATTTCAAATATATTCTTAAGTAGTTTTCAGTTCCTGATTAATTTTGAATATTAGAATATAAAGATTTGATTTTTGAACATGATTTATGTGTTTTTAGAGGCTGAACAGAGTTTCTCTTTTGCATTTTAATCATTACCTGGAAAATGTGATTACAAACAAAACAAGAAATGCTTTAGCACCTTATTTTCAGTCACATATTTAATATTATAATAAAGGTATTCTCTTTTTAAACTGAATCTTTCAATTTTTTTTACTTTCAAACTTTTTATGAAAGATCTAATGGAGAGTATGAAATTATGCTGCTCTTTTTTTCTACATCATCTCAAATACTCAGAAAATTGAAAACATCACCCAATACTTTGGAGGCAAGGCCAAATCTCAGATTTATTATCTAGATTAATGAATGGTAAAATGATACTTGACAGAAATTTTTATCCTTATTCTTAAAAAAATAAAAACAAGTGGATCAAAACTAATGAAAAACAGACGTCACAGCTTTTCTCTCGATTAGCTGCATTTAAATTGTTTTTAATGAGAATCTTTGATGGCAACCTTTAATTGTTTTGACATTTCTGCCTTTTGGGCAGTATTAGTACAGGGAAAAATAAAAAGCAGTAATTGCTAGAACTAAGGAACTAATTTTGCTAATAGGATACAAAATTCAATTGTAAATACTTTATGATTTTAAATGTGTGGTGTTTTTTTTTTGTTTTTTTTTTTTTTGTTTTTTTTAATGCCTGGCCTCATTTTTAAGTCTCACTTTTGTGGCATCAATTGGATTTAAATATCCACTATTTTATGGGCAAAGCAACAATGGTAAATATTCTTTAAAGAAGGGTAAAGGGTAAGTCCATTTGTGAGGTAAATAGGAATTTGATAACCTATTCCTTTAAATTATCTTTTTCGCTTTACAAATGAGTTACTACTTGTTTATATTTTTTCTAGCCTTTTCTTCTTTTTTCACTTCCAGTTGATTCATTTTATCCTCTCTGCACCATAAATTTACCCAGTTATAATAATATTTAGAATTACTGATAACAACGAGCTCTAAATGCAAGGACAAGTAGATGGAGAGAAAATTCTAAAACATTTTAAATGAAATCATTACTGACATTAATTTTCACTGTCTACCATAGTATATGGCTAACATCTATGAAAAGAAGCTTCACTTTTTCTTCTCTACACAATGAATAAAATTTTTCAGAAAAAAAAAGTGTTTGCAAGTTGATTCATGTCAAACTACTCGAGGAATTGAATCATAAGAAAAGATCTCAATGGAACAAACCAATAAGCAAAGTTCATGGAAGATGGCACAGAATATACTGGGAAAAGAGCTTACCTGGGAAAAGGAACATGTGAAACCCCCTTGCAGGAGGCTAAAGTTTCTAATATGCGACGGTGATCAAGAGAACCAGCTGTTTGCTGACCACATTGTACAACTTGGAAAGTAGCTGTCAAATGCCTGCATGTGACATTTGCTGAGAGACCAGGTGTTTTTCTGGTAGATAAAATGTGTTCCTCAGCTTGATACCTATGTTTTATCGGTGACTGCAGAGAGCAGCAATTTTAGTAACTAACAGAAAGTCGATTTGTTTTTCATTTCTCTGATTCACGTACATACGTTAAAGCTGCAAAGTTATGCCAAAAAGTCCCAACCTTAGTACATTTCTTAATTCCGGCCATGTTTGCCTTTAGGTAAAATATTAGGTAAATTATTTTCTGTATGCAGTAATAATAATTGTTCTACTAAAGGACGTTTCAAAATACATGTGAGTGGAATACAGCTTTACTTTTTCACTAGCTCATTCTGAATATTCACATGGTTAAGCCTTTTCAAGCCAATGATCGTTAATGTTTGTAATGAAGCAATAAATAAGATTATTAAAGTTACCATCAGTTTTTATTTGTGGTGACTCTTGTACCAGTTTTCAAATATTAATCTTGTATTAAATTTGAATACGTTCAGTATCATGGGTAGCTGCTAGAAACTGATTCATGAAAGCTGCGGCGCTGTGATGTAACAATCCCTACTTTTGCCCCAACTGTAATATAAGGCAAGTCTGTGAGCCTTAGAGCCAACTCATGAGGTGAGGACTGATTTGTTGGAATTTAGAATTCATCATGAAAGAATTGTTCAGCTCTAATACTGTGCTAGCACAATCCCTAGTGTAGCATTGTAACGAGGCTCTAGTTAGAATATGACTTTGCGTCTTCTAAGCATCCTATTAATATTCAATCATATAATGGAATAGCCATCCTTATGTTAGTCTGTCTGAAGAGCACAGCTACCTTTGATTTTTCTGTATACACCATTTGAGAATTTCCGTTTTCATTCTGGAAATATGCCTGCAAATGTAATGTTAATTTATGTCACCACTGGAAAAAAAATTTTATTGCATGTAATTCTGTGAAGTCGTAAGTTTTCTTTAGAAAGTCAAGAATGGTCTGTGAGAATGGATTCTACAAGTGAACTGATGTGGACATTATTAATGGGGGAACCAAATAAATATTGAAGTAAATACAATTGGATGAAAACCAACTACGTACTTTATAGAATATAAAAGACTTTAAACAGGAACTTTTTGAGATGGATAGTGTGAAGGCAGAGAATCTTTTAACACATCGTTTATTGATGTTAACCTCATGTTTTCTCTCTTTTAGGGTGTGGTTAGACCCACTGGGGGATATGCTGTGATGCTAAACTGGACAATGTCTTCTATATATGGACTTAAACCTGGAGAGGTAATCATGGTTTTAAATTCATGTTACAGGAACATTTCTCTGATGAACGTATATGTATTTTATTACCTTCTTATTTTTTAGGTGTGGTGGGCAGCCTCTGACTTAGGCTGGGTTGTTGGACATTCCTATATCTGTTATGGACCTCTTCTACATGGGAACACAACAGTTTTATATGAGGTAATAAGATGAAATTAATACCATCTAAACAATTTTTTTAACTGAAGGTTTTAAAGAAGTGGTTTCTAAGTGGGAACCGAAAAATTTGGATTTGGGGCATGACACTTTTTTATATCTTCTTCCAGTTAAAAATAGGATATCAAAAGAGAATGGAATACAGAAAATAATAGCCAGCTATTAAAATTGTGCTGAACAAAACCAGCAAAAATTATATTATGAAAAACATATACTCATCAGCTTGATGTCTATCCCTAATGGATTTCTAGAAAGTATTATACAAAGGCATTGCAATAAAATAAATGTTTTTTTTTAAAATAAGTATTCTCTTTGAAGTAAACAAATTAAGCCTCAACACTGAATCCCTATTATGAATTATGGTGTTAGTAACATACACGTAACAGAGTTGAAGGTGCCATTGTAAGTATTTATATTTAGAAATATAAGCTGCCTTTAGAACTGAAGAACATACAATTCTTGTGCATTTACCATTGGCCTTTTATTACTTCTTGAGTTTATTTGAAACATGATTTTAATACTATGAAAGGGGCTTGGTGGGTTTTTTTTTTTTTTTTGGAATGATGTACTCAAGAGGAATGTAGATGCTTTATAAATATTTTTGTGTAAAGGAGTGAATGTAATAGCTACATTCTTAAACCTTTGATCTGAATTCTGGTTTCCTTCATACCAAGTGTAAATATCTTCAATTCTTTCTGATAACAAAACAAAGCTTTTTAGACCTTTGCCCACTTCTAGCTATCCCATCTTTATTTTCTTCTCCACTAAACTCCTTGAAAAAAAAAATACCCAGTTCACACTGTGCGAATTTCATATTCTTCTAGTTCGTCTTTATCCCACTGTGGTCCAATTTTTATCCACATGACTTCATAGAAGCTGCTGCAGCAGAGGTCAACAGTGACTTCTTAAGTGACCAAGTCAAAAAGTCTTCAATCTGATTTAATTTTCACTCTTTTAGTGCATCAACCGTGCTATTTGCTGCAAGTAATTATTTCTCCTCTTGAGCTCCCTGCCCTTTTGCTATTTGTTCAGGCTGTTTCTTTTGCCTGGCATGACTTTTCCTGTGTCTTTCCTTCCCTTCCAATCTTGAAGACTCTGCTTAGACGTTATCATCTCTCCAAAGTTTCCTCTTATATTCTTTGGTTTTGTTTAGGGCCCTTTCCATGGTTCCATTGCCCCCTGAGCACATGTCTATCACTGAGCACTGAGCTGAGCACACTGGTTTGCTTTGTTTATATCCAGTAGCGTGTGAGATCTTCAAAAACCAGTCTCCCAGCACAGTGTGTAGCAAACACTGAACACTCAGTAAATGCTCATGGAACTAAATTGAGCTCCACTCCTTTGTTCTCCTCCTACCTCTCAAGACAGCTTGTCCTCCTTTTCCTCTCTTGGTTTCCCTTACTTTGGTCCTAAACACTGGAGGTTAGAAGGGTCTTATTCCTAACCTTCTTTTCTCATCAGATATATATGTTCTGTAATCTCCATGCAGTTGGATTTGAGTAGTACAAATTAAACCAAGGCTTCTGTCTACTCCTGTCTATATCAGATCTTCCTGCTGAGCACCAACTTATTGTTAGACCATCTTTGGATGGTCCATACACATCTTATGCTCAAGATGACAACCTGAACTTGCCGTCTCCATTCTTCCCTGCAAAACACATTTCTTTCCAGGTACTCTACAATGTTAATTTGACCTGCACTTACTCAGTTATCCAAACTAAGAATCAGGGAGTGATTCTAATTTCATTATCCTTACATATGACACCCTATTGGTCATTACATTTTGTTGAGTTTATATTTTAGTACCTATCAAGAGTATCCTCTTTTCCATGACTCCTGCCGTATATTCAAAGCTGATATTCAGCTGCTATGCATATGTATGTTGTTGACTGGTGTGTGTTCTGTGTTTGACTTCTGATTTGACTCGTGCCTATGCTTTGCAGTTGTAGATTTCAGATTATCCTCAGATAATCAGTCTAGAGCGCATTCTAACGGGTGCTCTTGCCTTTAAAGTTCCTTTCAGTCTACCTCTCCCCTAACTCCAGTTTCTGAGCTCTCCCTACTTATGTAATTATCTGTCTAAAATGCAAAAGCCAACATAGAACTTTGTTGCTTAAAATCCTTCAAAGGGTTAAGTTCTACTTCTGCAAAGACGAAGATGACATACTTTTCTCTATTCCTGTCTCTAAATAAGACTAAAAATCATAAGAATTATGTCTAGTGAAAACATTACAAGACTAAAAGTTGGAGAGAAGAAGGGAAACTTGCTTGTAGGGACCTTGGGACCCAAGGAACAACATGGTGATAAGACTCTGGGTTTTATTTTTCCCTCATATATCCTATATTCACTGCTGAAAAAGCTGGTAACCCAGAAACACTAATAACAACAACAACAACAACAACAACAAAACACACACACACACACCCCTAAAAAAATGTAAAGAAACATGATCTCTTAAGCCAAAGGAATAGGAAAAAGAAAGCCTAAGTAAAACGTAAAACTTTTAGATGGTTCTCCTCTAGGCAAACACCATAGAAAGATTCATGCTCTCTCTCCCCACCCCCAACAGCAAAAGCTGAGCTTAGTCTTCCATATTTGTCAAGGTGTAAGGAGGAAGTGTAACCCTCCATCTTCCCACAGGGGTATCAGAGAAGTTTGAACTAGGGAGCCAAGACTTTTATCCCTGCCAGGTGGTAATGAGGACCCCTCAAACTTGTAGTGACAGTGGAGACCATAGGAGTCTGGACTTATACCCCTTCCTGTCAGTAATGAGGTACCCCTCTTCCCATTAAGGTGGTATCAGGGAGCAGTTACTCTTACCTCACCCAGCCAGGGGGTTATCAGTGGAAGCCTACTGTTGGAAGTAGAACCCACCCAGAACAATGAGAAGCATCCTCCCACTTGGGTATCAGTGAAGGCCAAATGAGGAATCTGGATTTTTATCTCTACCTCTCCATTCCTTAATGGAGTGGAACCAAAGTAAAGCCATCTATAACAGAAGATGTAAATATGAGCCAGTCTTATAATATAATACACAAAATATCTAAGATTTGATGAAAAAAAAAGTCACTCCTCACATCAGAAACTAGAATGATCTCAAGCTACTTGAGAAAAAACAATTTATAGAGACCAATTGAGATGTTAGAATTATGTGACAAAGGTTTTAAAGGAGCCATGATGAAAGTACTTATGAGCATTCTTGAAACAAATGGCAAAATAGAAAGTCACACTAAATGTGTAGAAGTTATAAAGGACAACTGTATGGAAATATTAGAACTGAAAATGACAATAACCTAAATAAAAACTCATTGTGTGTGTGTGTTGGGGAGGGTGTGGTGGTGAAATAAGTGAAAGGGATTAAGAAGTACAATCTTGCAGCTATCAAATAAGTCACAGAGATGAAAAATACAGCATAAGGAATACAGTCAATAATATTATAATAATGCTGTATGGTGACAGTGACAGATGGTGACTACACTTCTCATGGTGAGGATCATGTAATGTATATAAACTTGTCAAATCACTTTTTTGTATGCCTGAAACTAATATAACATTGTATGTCAACTATAACTCAATAATAAATTTAAAAACACAAAGCAAAACACCTCAGTGGATGGGCTCAATGCCAGAATGGAGGGAGGGGGAAGAAGAATCAGTAAACTGGAAGAAGGAACAATAGAAGTTACCCAATGAAAACAAGAGAAGGAAAATAGACTGGAAAGAAAAATTAGCAGAGCTCCAGGGACATGTGGAATGATGACACAAGATCTAGCTTTTTTGATATTCGCGTCACGAAAGGAGAGGAGAAAGGGGTCAGGCTGAAAAAATAATGAAAATTCACACCTTCTTAAATTTAGCCAAAACTATACATCTATAGATTCAAGAAACAGAGTAAACCTCCAGACCGGATTAGTCTACAGAAAGACACACACACACACATACACACACACACACACACACACACAGACACACACACAAATCATAAATTTCTGAACACTAAAGACAAAAAGTAATCTTGAGACCAATGGGAAAGAAAGAATACCTTATCTATGAGGAAAAGCCATTTGAATGACAGGATTTTTCTTTGGAGGCCAGAGGAAAGTGACACATTTTTCAAGTTTGGAAAGTAAGGAATTGTCAATCCAGAATCCTATATCCATCAAAAGATACTTTGGAAATAAAGAAGAAAGAAAGACATTCTCAGGATGAAGAAAAACTTATAAGAATGTGTCACCACAGGCCTCCCTCAAAGGAATGGCCAATGGCCAGTACTTAATGGTAAAAGATTTAATACTCCTCTTATGTCTAGACCAAGGCTAGGATGCTCACTCTCACCCTCTATTTCAACATAGTTCTGGAAACAAAAACAAAAACATTTCAGAAAGGAAGAAATAAAATTGTCTCTATTTGAGTCTGCACGATTATCTATGTAGAAAATTATAGAACATATAAAAACACATAATAAGTGAATTCAGTCAGGTCTCAGTGTACAAGGTAAACACAAATATCAACTGTATTTCTGTATACTAGCAATGAACGTTTGTGGTTATGAAAAGGCAACAGGAGGAATCCATATGGAGATGGAACTGTTCTGCATCTCAACTATATCAATATCCTGATTGTGATATTAAACTACAGTTTTGCAAACTGTTAGCACTGGGTAAATCTGAGTAAAAGGTACATGGCATATTTGCAGGTGAATCTACAGTTAGCTCATATAAAAAGTTTAATTCAAAAATTAAAAAAAAAATTAAAAATCTTCAAAGAACTCCTGTCTCTTAAAAAACATAACTCGGGGCGCCTGGGTGGCGCAGTCGGTTAAGCGTCCGACTTCAGCCAGGTCACGATCTCGCGGTCCGTGAGTTCGAGCCCCGCGTCAGGCTCTGGGCTGATGGCTCAGAGCCTGGAGCCTGTTTCCGATTCTGTGTCTCCCTCTCTCTCTGCCCCTCCCCCGTTCATGCTCTGTCTCTCTCTGTCCCAAAAA